TGAAGCTATACATTCTTCCTTGAGTTTACCTGCATTAGAAATCACTAACTCTGACTAAAATAAGCGGTAACACTGTCAAATCAAAAAGTTCTGTATGTAAAAGATATTACCAAAATTCACATCCTTATTCAAGTGCTTTACATAAATACAGAAATCTTTAATGCCCAGAGGAAAACCTATCCATAAGGAATAAGAGTTGTGTGACATTGGGTTATCAACAACATAACTAACTGAATGGCCCGGATCTGCTTTTACTTGGACGGCAAAGTTTAGAGCTACATTGTAGCAGGAAGTTTCTCTCAATTCTGCAAGCACATGCACACAAAATCTGTGCTTGACGTCTAGCATCTGTTTAGGAAAAATAATGAAAACAAAGCCTGCAAAGAAAACGTGACACAATGTCTCCAGCCCAGAGGTACTATTTACAGGACTCACAAGAACATTTCTCAGAATCAGGTTTCCACCTAGTGGAGAAAACAAAGTTTGGGCTTTCGCGTGACCAAAACGATGATAAACACCAGGGTCAGACAATGAAGAATAACACTCATAAACTCTCAGGACTCATTATTTAACAAATAACTAAAAGTGTTATAGTCAACTTAAGCATTTCTGAGTTCTGACATAGCACATTTTTAAATCCTTTATATCTTTACAAGTACTCCTGTCCTAATCCTGTTGACATGTGTGTATGCCTGCTGATAGGAATTTCTACTCAGGTCAACTGCACTACACAGATATAAATGTTGCCCATGTGAACAAGACCAATTAGAGCAATATCACATTACCTATCACACCTAAAGTGGAGTTGTGCGTATTTGCTGAAGAAAGTTGATGCCTGTTCCCATGGCCCATGCTGAGTGAAACTGGACTGCTGACAACAGTGGAAGAGTGTTAATCCAAGCAGCTGGGAACAGAATGGTGTCAACCTGAAATCTGCTTGCCAAGACCACAGCTGGAGTGGTCTAGAGCATACTCTACCACATGATAGAGTATGCCTGTGCAAGTGAAAATGCCAAAGTAGCCAAAGGATGTATTGAAAGTCACAAATCCTGGATCCTTAGGGTAATTAAACTGTTTCTCTGTCATGAAAAGGTTGTACTGTTCATGGAAAAGAGAATGGAGGAAATAAAATATTAGAAAAGAAATCCAACCATTTAAGTTAAAAAACATTGAATACTCATTCACTTAAATACAGGTAATGGAGAACATGTTTCGTGAACATGCTATACCTCAGTTTCAAAGAGGAGAATCATACCACTGCAAGAGAAGTCAAGCACAAATAACTGTGGTTCTGATTTATACCAGTGTAGGGGATTTGTATTTAGTTAGCAAGAGTTTATTTAGGACATTAATGTTTAAATATCTTAAGTGTCACTTCCTACTGAGATGCAGTAAAAACAGAGGGCTTATTGAGCTCTAATTAATTTCATTTAACTACTTGCTATTAAATTCAGAATAGCAGGAACAAAGATACTGTAAGGCAGTGGCTTCCACCTGCCCTCTGACACTTGGTCTATAACGACTCTATGTAGAAACACATTTAAGCCTGGGAAGCAGCTTCTGTTTCTCATCTTTAATCACCTGAGAATCATAATCGCTTCCTGAACATTGTAAAATCCTCTCACCTTGTGATAACAAGCCATCAGGTTTCCTTTCTGAGTCAAAGATAACATTGGTATTGTACTGATAGTGGCTATCACTTGGTCACCTTGGATCACTGGAATTGCATGGTTTCCTGTCTCCCATATTCGCAACCACACAGATGGAGTTATTCCTTGTCAGACAGCTCAGTCTTTCCAGCATGGGTGAGGAAGCAAACCTAATCAGCAGGGAAGGAAGAAAGAAGTAAACGATCAAAACTATTCGATCCATAAAAATTCTAACGCTAAGATTACAGATCACAAGAGTGATAGGTCTAGGTTAGCCATATCTAATCGGAGACTGTTATTTTCTGTTATTTGACAGAAGGTAGCAGATTTGTGCTTCAAAGCGTAGCATGCTGAAACTCTTGCATCACCTCACATTAACTGAGGAACACAAGGGTTTCCTTGCAGTGAAAGCAAATCTTTGCACCTTCAAGTCTCCCTTCTGCTGCCGGCATGTGGCACAGCATAGATATTACAGCAACACATGGGCTAATCTCAGCCATTCTGCTGCAGCTCTCCATTTGGCTGATGTGCTGAGGTAGCTTCTGATTTGTTTCTTCTATGGTATGTATTGTTACTTGCCTATTGCAGCTTCAAAAAATGGAGCAATTTATTAAGAAAAATAACAGAATAAAAAGGTTACCAAATCATGATTCAAAAATGTAAGTTTGGAATTATGCAGTATATTCTTTCAGTTGTAGCTGTTATTTTATTCAGAAATATTCCTAATATTCTCATAATGTAAACATTTTCTACAACATGCATAGAATAACTTATTGAAATGTAGATTCCATAAGTTTCTTCTTTTAAATAAATCTCAACCTTTCTGGTGTACAAATAAAGAGAGTTACAGTGAAGAAAAATGACAGAGAAAAACTACAAAGAAAGTTGTCTGAAGCTATTTATGGCAACTACATGATGACTAACCTGGTTTCATTTCACAGCAGTTGCTCCAAGACACTTAAAACTATCAATCACGGCTCCTAAAGGAAGCCATCTTTCTTCTCACTGTTCCCCCATTTATAATAGGGACAATACCTTCCAGGATCAGCACATGGAATCCAGTCCACCTGTGAATTTGGGATATCCTCAAGACAAGGGTATATTGTTTCCCTTGTGAAGACCCAGCCACAAATGCCACCTTCAAGAGTCACAATGATATGGGCACCCTGGTACCAACATACAAACCACCAAAAACACCATTAAGATAGGAAAAGACAGTCAGTGTTTACTCAAACAAATGTCTCTAATGAGATCATAATAGCTGTCTGGCTGCTTCTTTGATGGTCACTTCCAAAATTGCCATATTTTTCTCCATCAGCATCAAGGGTTCCTCAGGAGAAACTGGTACTTCAGTGTCCTCTGTTGTGCTCACAGACTGCTGCAACACAGGTTCCCAGTGCACAGGCCTCAAGAGCAGATAGCACCAAAGGGCTTTAGGAAGCCCCATGTCTGGAGCCTGGAAATCATCCAAGAGGAGGCCACAGGCAGGCAAAAGCAGAGGGCTTTAAAAAGAGGAAGTCTTGCACAATATCTGGAAGTTTCCCAGGGTGACAGAAAGTTGACACCAGGAGATGCAATCACCCTGCCTGGAAAAACTCACAGCATCAAAGGCAAGAGAGCCACCAGCATTGAGCAATTCTGCCTCACACCACCACAGAGAAGTCACCACTGTGTGGCAGCCAAAGAAATATCACCTGCCACATCTTCGAATGAGTCAGGTGTGGCATTGCTGCAGTAACACAGCTCAAGGCAAGCCTAGGTCACCGCAGGAAAACAGTTTGGGAAATCTCAGCAGAGACCAGCACGCATACTTTCCTATAGAAACTGAAGGGCGTAGGGGGCAGGCAGGGCTGCGAGAGGCAAGCAGATAACTCCAAGCTCAGCACCACCACATAGGCACTACCTGTGCCACTCCTGTTCAGGGCTGCTCTGGTCTAGCTGGTTGTAGTTTGGCTATACCTGGCACAGTTCCCACTCATCACAGCTTCACAGCTTGTACAACTGTGTGGGTAATGACAGGTGGGTATTTAGACCTGCCACTGAATGAGACAAGCACAGCACTAGACAGAGAGTGGCTTAGCTTCCTATAGAAGACCCGACTGCCCTACTTTAACTATTGTTCCAGGACCTTTGGGTAATCATAGTAAGAGAACATGCTTATGAATTATTTCACAAGGCAAAAAACTTGGAAATCAGGATTCCCTTTCATGTTTCTTTTGTCTCCATTGTGCCCATGAAAGAATGAACAAGGGAGAAGATATGTTGCCAGGAAGTTAAAGGAGTTAGTTAAGCCTGCCTAGTTTCTACTGGTGGTCTGGTGAAGTTTTCACATGCAGCAGGACAACTCATTACTTTCAGCGACATTTGTGCTTTTTCTGGTAATCCTGGGCACGCTGAAGTCCTAACAGTACACATGAGGTAAGTGAACAAGTCATTGCACAAAACAAGCTAATTAAGTCTCATGTCTATAGATCTGTATCTTGTGCCCCTTGTGCCTAACTCTAGTTCTCTCAGCTCCTTCTCACCTGGCTTATCATCAGCACTGGCATGATCAGCATTTCATAAAAACTTGAGGTGTACACTCCTCATTTCAGTAAAATCTAACACCTGATACAAAAAGGAAAGAAAGATATTGACAGGATGTTTCTAGGGGAAGCCTGCCCTTTCATACCCTGATGTTTCACAGCTGGCTACCAGAGCAGTTGGTCTTGCTAGTCCCAAAGAGCGCTGGCAGAGAAAGAATCATTTCTCATGTAAAATCCAGTAACTACTTATAAGAGGAAACTGATTGGAAATTGCGAGACAGATCACTTTTCTTATTCATGGAAAACGGGTACCACAGAGAATCCCTTCCAGTACCCTTTCCAGTGAGTTATGAGCTCAAGGACAAATTAAAAGACTTTTGCCACAACCAAAGTCAAGAAGTCTAGTGAGAGTTTACCAGGCACGTCCTTGTCTCAGTTCCCCTTAAGTTTCTTTTGCCAAGCATCTGGAGGAGGTGAAGATGGTTTTTTTCCCTTAGTAGCCCTAGACTCTTGATAGATTTGCTGTTGCAGAAGCAATTAGTACAAACACTCCAGGCAGGATTTATTAGCAATATAAATCTCACACACACCAAGCTGAGTCTTCATATATAATACAAACATACATATATCTGTCCATGTGTGTATACACACATATACAGAAGATGCCAAATCTCCTCCGGATTGAAGATCAGTTGGTTCTGTGTAGACATGGCAACTCTTCTCTTCATTACTTTTGCCTCCTATCTTCACGCACTCTCAAGATAATACACATACTGGTAGACAAAAAGTCTTTTGGACTTAAGTTTTCTAAGAAAATTTACAAAACTTAGGAAAAAAGTTGCTTTATTGAAAATAATATTGTGCTTTGTAATGCTTTGTAATTTCAAATTCTGTCTCAACGTTTTATGTTATCAGTTACAGTATTACAAGATAATGAACTTCCCTCAAAAAGGTACAGAAAATCATGGTAGCAAAATAGGACCTTTATCCAAGAATAATGCACAGCACACACAAGTATAGAAACTAGACATTTGAAAACATGTCTCTTCACATACAGCGGTGCACTGTACATGGAACACAATTAAACAGGCTGACAGCTGAGGGTTAGTCATCACTTATGAGAACTTCCAAAAGAAAGGCAGTCAGTGTTTAGTGTTTAAAAACAGTAATGCAGCTACAACTAAACCACAACTGGTTGTTCAATAAGGGATCATGTCACAGCTCCAGAATAATGAAGCACTCTTAAGTCCAGTCACATCAATACTAGGTTAAACCACAATAGTAAACAGAGAATTAAAAGTAGTATGTCTGACTATGTTTCACTGCCCATGAGATGAGTTCTTTCTTCATTATTACCAGGAGAATTTTGCAGGCTGGAACTGTTTGCATAAGGAAAAGAACAGGAGAGAAAACACAGGTTGCATATTCTCTAGACACTTCTATGCAATATCAGCATTAAAAGCAAAAAAGCATATTACATGCAAAGAGCTATGTGAATCACTGGATTTGATTCCCTGCTATTGCACCCAACCATTCATTCATTGCACCCAACATTCATTCATACTATCATATAATGGTTTGTACTGAAAGTGACCTTTAAAGGTCAGCTAGTCTAACCACCCTGCTATGGGCAGTAATATCTTCAACTAGATCAGGTTGCTCAGAGCCATGTCCAACTTGGTCTTGAATGTTTCCAGGGATGAGGCATCCACTACCTCTCCGGACAACCTGGTTCAGAGTTTTACTACCCTCACTGTAAAAATTTTTTCCTCATACCTAGTCTGAATCTACTTTCTTTAAGTTTAAAACCATTTGTCCTATCACTACAGGCCCTACTAAAAAGTTTGTCCCCATCTTTCTTGTAAGCTCCCTTTAAGTACTGAAAGGCTGCAATATGTTCTCCCCAGAGCTCCTTCTTTTGCAGGCTGAACAACTCCAAATCCCTCAGCCTTTCCTCACAGAAGAGATGTTCCAGCCCTTTGATCCTTTTTCTGGCTCTCCTCTGGACCTGCTCCAACAGGTCCATGTCTTTCCCATGCTGAGGGCCCCAGAGCTAGATGCAGTACTCTAAGTGGGGTCTCAGAAAAGCAGGGTGGAGGGGAAAAATCACCCTTGTGATTGTCCAGGTCCCTCTGGATGGCACCCCATCCTTCAGGTATGTCAGTTGCAGCACTCAGCTTGGAGTCATCTGAAAATCTGCTAAAGGTGCACTCAATCCTATTATCTACGTTGTTGTTTAAGATACTAAATAGCACTGGTCCCAAGGCAGACCCCTGAGGGACACCACTCTTCACTGATCTCCACCAGGACACTGAACCACTGACCACTATTCTCTGCATGTGACCATCTAACCAATTCCAGCTCACAGACACCCTTATGGAAGAAACATCAGTAGGGTTTGCTCATTAATGTCATGGTCCTGCTGCTTGTATAGAATAGGCATTGCCCTGTTTATGTGTCTGTTTAGGTCAGCGGGATTTAGGAAACCATACAGACAAATAATTTAAGCAGTATTTTTACTACTCATCATTCATTATCAGGTTGGTAGTGAGGAAAAAATGGAAGCACAGCTTTCAAAGGTTTGCTTTATATGACTGCAAGTAAAATAAAGAATAAATATCTCAGCATACCTTTTCCTTGTTGCCTCAATGATATAGAATATTCCAGTAGCAAGGCCCTTTGAGGAAACAGTCAGTTATAATTGTAATAATAATAACAACCTTATCCAATAGCTTGCAACTGCAATAGATATAAAACAAAAAATGTGTTACTACTTACACTTAACAGTGCCCATCCTCCTTGGATGGCTGCGGCCCATTCAAAACCCAGCTTTTCATTTAGAAATCCTCCCAGAATGGGACCTGCAAATGCTCTGTAACAAACAAAAATCAGGTATTTGCATCCCAAACAAAAAAGATAACATCTCATATTCTCAGAGAACTGTTTTATTGTGTTTTGTGGCCTTTATAGACTCTCTCACTTTTGTCAACAAAGAAATTGCCTTCCACAGGTCTAACTTCCCTATTACCCACAGTAAGTATTAATTCTTTGTTTTCCAAGGCCCCAGTAAATCTGTCTAGTCACCTCCTCAGCTGGAAACAGGATCCACATCAGAAAGCTGAATGCAGTCTTCTTCAGCAGAGAGAATCCATTGAAGACCATGTTCTAACAGAACATCTACACTGATCAATTCTATCATAAGAGAAATTAAAAGTCTGATCCCTCAAAACACAAAGCTTCCAAACTTCAAGACAAAGGACTAGTGAATATAGGCAGGTGGGGAGGCACATTGTGACAGACATGGTCACTGCAAGGTTGAGCTGTATCTTAACTGCCCTGCACCTTTAATGCCTGTCTAAAAATGCCATGAAAGGTTATGCAGCTGCTGTCCCTTTATGAAAGGTAAGTGATACGATCTCTCACTACAAAAGGGACAAAACTGTGTAAAACTGGAGAGATTTCCTGGAAGAAAGTTACATTATCAAACTGGGCTTGATAACAGCATAAAACTGAGGTTTTGTAACTTTATAGTACCAATGTCTGTACTGAATCCTATGCCAAATAAACATGACATCTGGACAGCTAGAGCTTGTAAAAAATGGTGTGAATTTGTGCCACTGAAACAAACCCGCAGCCACTGAGGACTACCAGGACAGATGAAAATATCCTGGAAGTGGCTGTCAATAGGGGCACTCTATCACTTCCCACTGAGTGACAACTCTGAAGGGTCACTCAGCCAGTAGCACCTTTCATTCATTTCTGTGTTGATGACCACTGACTAATAAATACAGACACATTCTGCTAAGTTACAAAAACACAGACCTTAAAGAATTGCTGAGGGTGAAAAAAAAGAGAAGATTCTACCCTAAGACATACAAAAGGAGGAAATGTGGAAAATGGAAAGCAGAATTAGTCAGGAGCAGGGACCTTCTAGCTCACCTCATGTGGGTGGACATAGCTTTGTGAAAAATTAGGGTCCAGATCTCTCTGTACTGAGCATTAAATGACAAGAAAAACGATCACACAGAAGTGCAAGCAAACATCCACTTAATCACCGCAGTTTTTTGATATGCAGGACAATACATTTCAAGGAAGACAAGTTCAGGATCTTGTCAAAACCAGTTTTACCCTTTGTTGGGTAAAAAGCTTTGTTTTAACATGCCCACTAGGCACCTGTCTAGCAAGAAACTTTTGAATCAAGGTCAACATAATGGCTACAAGGCAAGACTTCTGGTTATAATGTAGCCAGGTTTTGCGTGGCAATAGTGTAGAACAACCAAACTCTCCTAGGTTACAAAACGGTGTATACATACCCAAGGGACCACATGGCATTGAAGAGTCCAGACACCACTCCCAGCAGACTAAGACCTTCTTCAAATCCATTCTCACTGCAGAAAGACAGACCAGTTAAGAGTAGTACAACACATTATTTTGTCTCAGTCTATAGCCTTTCCTTATGGAGTTTTTCCCCTCCTTTTAATTTGCGCACTACATAATTAGTTAACAATCCAAAGTGCATAGTAGAATGTCTGTATACCCAGTACTTTCTTCCTTGCTGCCTCTCTGGAGGATTGCAGTGCTACTCCTCCTCTCTAATTTCTTCCAAGTAAGATCACTAACATCACAACATCACACTCATTCCCCATGTTTCATACGGTAAGTGTAAAACAGTGACAGCTGGCTTTTAAGAAGAAAATACCTTGTTCCAAATGGAACATAGTAATAAGAGTAAATCAAGACCCTTCTAGGTCATAACTGCCAAGCCACAACACAGACCTTGTACTTTGAGTACATATGACTCTTGCAGGTGCAGTTGTAAGAGCCAATACAGTTTGAAAATCCAGTGAAAGCTGCTTGCTATTAGTAGTCCTCAGAAGATGAAATAACCTAATGTATATGAAATCACACACAGGTTCACCAGATGCTATAAGACTCAAAATCTGATGGACTTCAGTGTGTTCCTAGTAGTGAGGTACACATTTACAAAGCTATATTGGGAGTATAACGACTAGGATATTCAGAAAAAACTAAGATAAGGGAGTAGTGGAAGCATTTAAGTGTTACTAGCTGCCTTTGTCTCAAAGTGGGGTAAAAAAGCCACACTTCATGTTCACCCCTGGTGAGATATGGGATCCAAATCTCACTGAATTATTGATATGGGTCAGAACCATCTCACTGTGTGTGTGTGTGTTCCCACTGTGTGGGAAGGGCTGGGCCTAGACCTGCAGGTACAAGGTAAGGCCTGTCTTATCACATAAAGCCTGCTGAGAGCACACGGCCTGCAGTTAAGAGGGCCAGGTCCCTGAGAGCACATGGCAGAGCCAGAAGGCTGCAGCCAACATGGCTGAGCCTATGCAGAGCACACGGCATCACTGAAGGCCCTGTAGCTGGGCTGCCAGTCAAGGCAGACCTGCCCAGTAGCCCATTGACACCACGCCCCTGGAGCCTGTGACTGGCTATAGCACACCTCACTCTGGCCTGGAAGGCACTGACTGGATATCCCACCTGGGAGAGAAAACTGAACTCTATAAATACATGAGACTCCTTGTGAGCTCTCTCTCTCTCTCTCTTCTCTCCTGCTGCCTGCACCATGTGAATCATCGAATCTTGTTGGTAACCATTTTTCCTTTCCTCTCTCTCCTTCCTTCTTTCTTCTCTCTTTCTTTATGGTTTTCATCGGTCTTCTTCTTTTACTCTTTTCCTTCTCTTGTGGGTAACTTAAAACAAATGAATTGTGGTTTACTAAAGCTGGTAATATTGCTTATTTATAGAGAGTGTTTTCTGTTGAATGGGTCTTTGTGCTGGGTGTTTTAGTAAAATGCTTTTCTTCAGTTATATGTTACCCGCTATATGTAAAGCCCTTTGTCAAAATGTCTTATTTTTCTCGCCAAATTAAAAAAAATTTCTCTTAGACAAGTGTGCGCGGCTCTTTCTCCAGACACAAATTCGAGGTTATAACGAACCAGAAGGTTTAAAAAGTCTTAAATAATATGTAACTGCTCTGGGTATCTTATGGCTTAAAATCCAGAGTGTAACACCCCTGAAAAATAGTTGCAGTTTCCTACTGCCAGTAGCATGAAAGATGGGTTGGACCAAGTTACTTACTATGCACATTGCAGTATCTCTGGAAACACCGGAATAGCACTCATGCCAATGGAAAAGCCAATCAAAACCAGCACTAGCACAAACATCCACAGCTGACTGAAAAAGAGGCATTTAAAAGAAGTTAGCTGCTTAAAACTCTTTTCAAAGGACTCCATTTGACTGAAGGCTGTTATGTCAGCACTCCACGATTGATCAGCAAACTATGTTTCTTGAAGCCAATACTAAGACTTGAAAAATACAGTTCTTTGCTTTAAAAAAGGACTTTTTAAAATAACGTGAAGAACCTGTGCTCAAATTACATATTTTCTTATCAAATGGAGTTTTGTTGATAAGTTACAAATCTTAAGTTGATTTAACGAGGAGCACATAGAGAAGAGGTCGACAGATGAGCTTAACTCAATAATGCATCTGTCCAAGCTCCAGACTTGGTTTGTTGCAGAAGTGAAGGATTTTGAAGCTAAAATTTTGTAGCCTAGTATATTATAAGCAAATATACTTAGCTAAAGAATATTGAAGACATCACTGATTTCTTTTTCTCACCAGCTCAAACATGTCACCTCACCAGTTTCAATATATAATCTTCTTTAAAAATTAGAAACCTAGGAGGAATTCTACACATTAACAAGCCTATCATCTTTAACACAGTATCTGACCTAGGACAAAAAGACTGTACAGTTGTTTTGTAAATGTAGCAGCATGTTTTGTTGTGAATTAACTCAGAGAGATATGGCAATACAGCATTCAGGTGCAATGGACATTATCTTTACTTAGCTAGCTGAAGACAAAACTATAATCTGGCACTTTCCTCAGTAAGCTATACATAGAGAGAAAAAATCATTATGAGCACAGTAACAGTAAAAAACAAAGGAAAAGGATCTATTTATGAAGCTGTAAAATCTCCATTTTCAGATGCTTTCACTGCTTTACACTCAGTCTTATGTTAGACATTAAAATAAAACTGTTTCATGGTCAGAGGTGCTAATTACAAACTTGAGGACATACATGACATGGCTGAAAACATCACATAAGGGGGTAGGTTCGAGAAGAGGCAGTTATTACCTTTCAATGTGCAACACTGGAGCAGGTCCTAACATGAAAAAGGACAGTGCTGTCAGTAAGCCTCCAGCTATCAGCAGCCACTTCCTGATGTACTGTGAAAGACGAGGTATGCAATTTAAAATTTGTGAATTCCTAATGTAGCTATTTTGTCTTTCCTAATATTCCTGTTCTAAATCTTCATCTGAAAATACAACTCCTGTAGAGACCATCACTACAGACAAAATGGGAATTCAAGTTTCTCTGCCAATTCCGAACACCATCAAGAAATAGTGAATCCATGTTTCCTCACTGCCAATGCAATCACTGGCAGCAGCTGCTTAATACAGAGATTTCTTTATGATACTGACCAATAGTGCTTCTCTGTTAGCAAAGTATTTTAGGTCTCACTCTTCTTTAATACAAGAAATATCATGTAACATTGCTCCTAAAGGTTCCTTCCAACCCAGGCCACTCTATGATTCTGTGTAATTCTCATGTAGAAAGGCCATTATTACTTTGTGTCAGGAAAACTAAGTGTCGGAAAACACAGTGTCAGAAAACTGTCACTGTGCTTCACTCACGATATTCAAAGTGTAGGTTTTCTTGATCCATTTGTGGTGCCTCTCAACTAGGCAGTTTTAGGTGTATCACTGTCAAAGTCTCTTTCTATGGTGCTGTCAAGAGCTAAAGGACTATAGCCAGCCAGTGTGCTGATCTAATTTAGATATTAAACTTTTTAAGAGATAAAATCAATACAGATAACCAGAACACCTTTAATCCTCTTCTCAAAAGCTAATACAATTAGATGCGGTCAAAAGCAGGGGTAACTGCGACATATTTTCCCACTCTCTATTCCATATTGTCTGGAAACAGTTTGTGCTCAGTCCACCAGAAAAGCTCAGCACCACTTGAACCGCTTGTCCAATGTCCTTTACTGCATTGGACATTCCTAAATTACCTGGGCCTTGCAAAAGAGACCTTCCACTTGGCAGTAATGGGTCCACGTGCAAGATCTTGAAAGGCAAGATCTTGAAAGATCTTCACAGGACCAGACCTACATCCATTGCTTCAATATGGGAAGTCCTCCATCTTTACCTAACAGTACTCACTGGCAGTTTGTCGCTTACAAGTCCAAGGAGAGGAGAAGACAAGGAGTATGAGAGTGCCAAACCAAGGAACACCAAGCCCACATAACCAGCTGGGAGCTTGAACTATGGAAAGGAATAAATAAAACAAAAAACCAAAACAAACCATATATGCTACATTTATTAGAGGACAATTCAAGAATTATATTTTAGTTCAAAATACTGAAATGCATGATTTTAAGCATTTTACTGACATCATACAGAGGTTTTTCAAATATTTGAAGTCATCAACAGAGCTTCAGTTTCATTGCTTTTGGCAACACTTCTAAGCATGGAGGTAGAAACACCTGACAGAACTGTTACTCATATAAAGCCTAAATAATGCTTTATATATATATATAAATATATATATTATATATATATATATAAAATATAATGCTTTATATATATACAGGAGGAAACACTGTGCTATGCCCCCTACAACAGCACGCTGGTTTCTAACATTACTATCTGACACACTTGAAACAGACACTTCAGACACTGAAATTTAGATGGATTTAGTCTTTACTTCTCCAATCTTCAGTTTGATTTGCATTTAGAAAAGCATAATACTGTAGCCATCTACTGTTAATCAGCGCATCTTAAAAGTAAATAGTGCTATAAAACTCAACTCCAACTTTTCCACCAGAGGATGATTTTTATGAGAATGAGTAAGAGTTCTTTTGCAAACACCCTGAGGTTTACATTTTCCTAATGCAGAGACACATTTCTGTATCGAAACAAAATGCGTAATGAACCAAAAGCATGCCAGTCTCTCAAATGAGTGCCTTGACTAACAGTTAGAAGGTATTCCAAGATGTTTCATGTGGCATTGACTAAATAAATATTCATTATTTCCTTGCCATATGCAACTACATGATAATAACTCTAATTTAGTGGTTAGAACATCTGCCAAGAAGGCTATAGCCCTTTCACAGCAAGTATCTGTAGCACAGTAGAGAAGGAAAGCAGAAGAGCCACAGAAGCACACAGTATTCTACAGTGGGATAATTACAGACCCCTCCTGGGTAAAGGAAGATGTACATTCACATCTCCACTGATGAAAGCAGTTAGCACCAAGTCCCCTTCACCCCAGATGAGTGCTCTAAGTACAGTACTAGACAGAAAAAAAGTAGGAACACAACCACCTGAGAAACACTATCCCTTAGAAAAACAATAAATAAAGCACTCAAAGAGCATTGCTTAATTTCACAGAGAAACTACTTACTTCAAATCCATTACCTTAAACACCACAGGGAAAAATAAATAAATCAAGTAGGAAACAAATAAGTACTAAAATAAATAATAAATAAATAAATAAAATGTCATTTGCCTTTTTAATGAATGATTTAAGTCAGCTGGCAACTACATAGTTGTAAACAGTTTAATTTTAGGATTGCTGTAAGAGAATGCAGAGCTACGACACCACTTTGTGGAAAATAAGTGTTCACATCAAGAGATGTAACACTGTCAGTGACTGTGGCAATTTTCAAGAATTTTATTTCAGAAAGGAAGAAAAAGTCCCTTGCTTACAAAACCAGCTGCTGTGCCCTATTCAGAGAAGGTACTTTGCTGTTGAAAGCCAATTACGTGAAAAAAGCACATTTTTAAAGGCCTTACATTTCCTTGTTCTCAAAGTTACCAAGATCCAGCAGGATGAGATACTGTCAATGGAAATTGACTTGTCAGTACCATGGAAATCAAGTTATTTGGAAATCATACTATTAACAGTTAATCAAAGCAGTGTAATTGGATAAAGCTCAATTTTGTTTTGGATATTTAAGCCACATTTATAACAATTACTTACTGTTTAGCAACTCAAGAGTTCACTGCATGTTAACAGGACTTACCTTCTTTAGAATAAATAGAGACATTGTGGGATCCAAAAAGCTCAAACATGCACTTAGAGAAAATATAGTGAGACAGAGTACTAAGACTTTTGGTAGATGTATAAGCTTCCAAAAGGATTCCTTGCTAGGGATTGAATCTGTTTCAATAGAAAAGGGGGGAAAATTGCATTATCATAAGCTCATGACTGATCTTCTTGCTATAGAAAAGAAATCAGTATTTCTCTTTTTCTAGTCCTATTACTCCTGTTTACATACCAAATGAAAGTCAATAGTAGATTACTATGCACTATACTATTTTTATAGTAAAAAACCTAATTTGGTAGATGAAGAAGAAAAGTGCACAATTTAGATTCCAACACCGCAAATCCCCAACTTGAAAAGAACAAAAGCATGTACTACGCCAATTATGTGTAAAAACAGTTACTTCTCTGCTAGTACTTACACAATGAAATTCTTACGGGTATGTCTCAACATGCACACATACATGAACAATTCATATCCAAACAAAGAAACATGGTTTAAAAGTAAGATAAAAAGATTGTTATTTATCAGTTGAGATCTGCCAGACTTTTTAAGCAACTAGGTGTTTGGGTCTCCTATATGTTCAGTTTGTACTCCAGGAAACTTCTTTCACATGTCATCGTTACATGGTACTTCTACGTCAGGCTTCTTTCCTGATGCTGTTTCTCCTTTAATAGTTGAATGGGGTCTCAAAATAAACATTAGAACTAAAAGTTCAAATACTGGCATCCACCACCTCAGAGCTAACATTTATTTAACATCGTTTCAAATTGGCCAGTAATATCATGACTCCAGACAACTTCAGAGCTTGGGGAGGTCAGGGGGAAAGCCAGCAGTAGCAGCATATGGTTTATCACTGCAAGTTTCTTCTAAAAGCCAATATACGCAATTTTTTAAAGAAGCATTTTAAAGTTACATTTTCTTTTCTCTAGAAAAGAATAATGGAACTGTAACCTTGCAATTACAATCTTGTATGAAGACATCTTTAAGTTAGTTTTCTGTCCAAGCAGGACCATATAAAATTTAGTCAAATTTATATGACCTCCAGCACTTCATTAAACACCTCATTTATTAACTTTAATAGTCTTTCATGTTAATCAGATCTTGTATAATTCGGTACAAATAACATCTTTTTTTCTCCCTGTAATTAGCTTCCCCACACACACTGTCAAATTCTCTTGTTTTAGGCAAAATCTATCTCCAGGTTTTCTTCAACTAGCTGCAACGACAAACCTATATGAAGCAGATGCAATTGGTCCTTTATGAGCCCTGAAGCCAAGAAGTCAAAAGAAAACAAAAGTATATCTCAGTTCACTTCCATAGAGTTCTTAGTGTTTGCAGAAATAGGGATGAGGAGTTGCATTCATTCCAGGCCATCTGTACACATGCATTTAGGTTAGCATTAAAACATGGGCCTGATGAAGATGATCAGCTAATTCAACTGGAGCTTCGCCCTCTGACTTGGATCAGACTCCAGAAGCTGATACGCTTTAAAGATACTTAAATACGTGAAAAATAAAGGTGAGTGAAGGAGGCAGGTAGAAGGATGCTTACCGTATTTTGGCAATATGCACATATTCATAGGCACGAAAACCAACACTATACATCCCAGAGTAATGAAAGGGACCTCATAACCAAATGATTGATACAAAAAACCACCTAAAGGTGGGCCCAGCACCATTCCGAGTCCTGAAAAAATTTCAAGGCTGCCCTAAAGGATGAAAAGGCAAGCAAAAAGGAAGTCAGTATGTGGAGCAAATATGATGCAATGACAAAAAGCAAGCCATCTGTCTGAGGGGCAGCACAACCTAGGCAGGTTAGTGAAAAGTAAAAAGACACTACATCACTAAGGACAACAGCTAGTAGTGACCTTCACAAGGTGGAACAGTGAAAGGGATTTCACAGTTATCTGTGTGACAGCCATGACCTCTTTTGGTTCACTACAGAGAACCACCTGAACTGCAGCATTCACCACCCTGCTGTTACCTAGCAGATCCCAGTCCTGAGGCAAGGCGAATGCTCTAGTGGCAGAGAGTATCTGCAGGAAAACTTAAGCTAAATGAAATATCTCTCCCGCCTGCCATTACACTCCAGTGTGAAGGGAAGGATCCAAACAAACCTATTCAGATGGGTCATTATCTCATGGGATGAAGTGCATGTGCCAAGTTAAAGCTTTCTCTTCATAACTGTTTTGATTTACTCCTTAGGGGTAGGAAATAATAATGAAATTGCAATGGGGAATTTCAGATTTGTTTTGGCTATAATTTAATAATCTGGTACCTTTTTATTAAGATACTAATTTGTAAATGGACAATAATACAATTATACTTACCTCGTGTTTCAAGTCAGCACTGTTAACATCTGCCTCAACACTTGATTAATCAACACTTAGACCACCACTAACAGCTGGTGGTAATAACTGCTTACAGCTAAAGTTTTGATAACCTCTAGAACCCAGAAAGATAGTAGAGGCACTCATCCTCATCTTTAATTTTACTGATACAAGTCAGAGTGGTCAAATGGCCCAAAATCAGGCACAGTCAGCAACAGCCAAGTTCTTTACCCTAGGTCAGCCTAGGGTTGCAGCCTTTTGTTTTCCCAGCAAAGGAAATAACTAGTAACAACCTACAACTAGTAAGTTTCAAAATTTCCAGATAGATTTGAGACATTTTGGTAAATTCTGACATGTGGAATAGCTGTTAACACAACTGTAACCAAATAATTCTTTCACTTGTGTTGCTCATCAACCATAAAAAATGGTTGATTTGATTTTTCAGATTTTAGTTCTTATCAGGATGTACATCATTTAGACATTCTAAATTAATGAGGCGGGGATGGAGGGGAAGCTGAGACATTGCATTAGTACAGATTAGAGGACAAGATAAACCTGATTCCATAAGAAAAGTGAGACTGCTTATGTTCTGAAGTCCATACCTCCTCCAACAGAGGGATCATGTTGACACATGCTCAACTTCCCACTTCAACAAGGCTGATGTGCCTACACTGAGTAACTTCCCCATACATTCTCTAGGGAGTAAAGGTAGGCTGAAAAGGTAAAGGAGTAAAGGTAGGCTGAAAACTGATACCAAAATGGTAAGGAGAGGAAGTGCTTTTCAGTATCTACCACTATCAAGAAGGGCAATGAAAAGCAAGGCTAAAAATATCTCATCCAGTCCCCCAGGCTTTACAATTTTACTCTAAGATGTGTCTTGCTTCAAACCATGAGCTCTTTCTTCTGCCTCCTGCCTCAGAGCTCAGAGTTACAAGAACTCTCCATCATGTCCATTTAAGGACAGTACGTCTAAACAAATGAATTTGAAGATATTTCATTCTCATGCAGAACAAGACACAAAATATGGTTAACGGACCAACATTTAGAAGTCATCTGTCTTCTTACAGAACCCTTCCTAGATTTTAAACAAAGGTAGCTGCCAAGCCAGAGCTGTGTAGCATTTCTAATTGGGGTCTTGAGATGACCTTCATCACCACATACCGTTTTCGGCCACATATCACGGTTACTGTGCTGCCACAACAGAATTTCATTACTTTTTAATTCTGATTATAAGATGAATAGCTAAGTCCCTTTAAGTCAACATTACTTACCTATTTAAATTACATCTTAAAATTTGTAAACAGGAAACCTTAATCTTATTGACTGAATAAATCCAAAACATGATTAGAATATACAAACTGCTTTCCAAAGAAAATGCTAGTTGATTACTGCTGATACAATTTAGCAGGTTTTTTTTAGTTAGGAGGACATATTCTTATAGATATTTACTTATAGAAGTAATTATAAAGCTTAACAACAGTTTTAATAAAAGCATCAACTTTTCCAATTTTATTTAATGCTCTTAAGTAAGTTCTCAACATTTGTTTACTCATTAAAATTTAATCTAGTTATTTCAGTCAGTCTATATTTGAACTGAAACCAGAATTTATTGAAATAGAGAAAGCAGCATTTTATTAAATACAAAACTTTTCTTCCTAACACCATAAAAACCTAACTAAATAAGGGTAATATCTCAGGTTGAAATGAATCATTGATGAGCAGAAATACTCCCCTCTGGATTTCAAGAAGTTCTAGCTCTCATCTTCTCATACATAATTTTATCAATAGACTAGAAAAATGAAGCCAAAATTGTTTCCAGTTTTGCATCTTTCAGGCATTTAAATCAACACTATTTGAATGAATTTATCAATTTTTGTAATCAATCCACAGGGATCCTTACTATCCATGTAGAAGTAGTCACTAAAAGCTGTATTAGCATTTTATTAGTCTGATTTCAACTGAAGAGGTAAATGCTGACATCAGTGGTCAGTTGTCCTCAAAGCACAAGCAACTAATATATACCGCCTAATTTACATCTAATTGGAGTTATGCTAAAGTCTATACTTGTTCTAGGATTGTGATTCTAGATTGCAAACAAAGTACGTGGTGACTTCAAATAAACCTGCACATGAGACAACAGATTTTCTCCTCCTGGATTTAGGCTGCCCACTGGCAATTTATCATATTGCAGGTACTCAGCTCTAACACTGCTTTTTGCACTTACCAGGACAGTAGCTATGTTAGTGGGAAACGCCTTCGCAAGGATTGAAAACGACGCTGTCATTGCTGCTGCAAAACTTATTGCATCAATTGCTCTTACTAAAAAGCAAAAGCCAATGAACATTGGTCCACTTGGCACCTTGTCCAGCATTCTGAAAAAAAAAAAAAATTACCAACAGTAAATGGAGCTCTCTCAGGATGGAAGGAGTCATCTACTAAGGGCCCTGGAGCATCATTTCTTACTCATTAAAGGACACAGCTACAAGACAGTTAATGCTTTCTATTGCAACATATTTTTGAATCGCATCGCTGAAGTCATTGAAACTCTACCAACTTCTTTCTGGCAGCTTTCTCCTTTTCCCCTTGGTTTGGCAGTGGGAAAAACATGGAAAACCTAACTCGTGAAAAACTCCAGTGCCATCTTCTGTTGTATTTCACAGCTTCTCCAATCACCTGTGCAAGCAGTCTGATGCAATGTGTTACAGCTACCTAAGAAAAGGTTCTTACCTCGCTAATAAAACATTTATTTTGCTAAAATGAGTGACTTAGCCTCTTCACCTGCCAGGTAAAGCTTCCCATTTGCACTCAATATTTCCAGGGAAAAAAAATTAAAACGTTATGTAGAAATAGTTCTCTTTTTGCTGCATTTTGACAGGCTTCTCACTATTCATAAACTACAGTAGTTATTTAAATATATGAACCTTCCTCCTCTGTTTTCAAAGTAGTAAACAGACTTTGAAACCTACTGAAAGGGAGAAGTAAGTTCTTTACAAGGGGAAGATAAAAACTAAAGATGTAAAAAGTTAGGTGACCTAACCAACACACAAAAGATGCCCAGGATTTTCTAGTTTGGTTTTGTGTTCATCTTTTCATATGGATGAAAATGATCAGAAGACAAATGCAACAAAAATTACTCACCCAAACAGAATGGTCACACATCCTGAAACAAATATCCCTGCCACAAACATGAATTTTGCTCCAATGTGTGTAAGCTGTAAATTAAGTACCATTTTTTACATATTAGTATTTCAAGGAAAGATCAAAAATCTTCCAACATAAGTTACTATTAAGAAATCAAACACTATGGGCACTTTATAGCACATGTAACTAAAAGATCTGAAGATACTGCTTCTGCTGGTGTACCTTTATGCAATACTGAACCTAAAAGTACTCTGAACGGTTAAGTGACTTAATCCAGTTTTCAGAATGGTAAGACAATGCTGCAATTAACTATGTCACAGCAGCATGCTGCAGCTTCTGCAGAGCAGCAGGTTACAGCAGCAGTCCTCACTATAAACAAACACAAAGTAATACATTCCTGCTTCAGCACCATCACTGAGGGAAGACCAGCAATACCTGTCACGTATACGGCTGAGGAGTCAATGGAAGCTGATTTTAAAGCAAATTTATCACTACTTTTAATACCACAAAGCTTTGGCATGGGAAGCACAGTAGCTTCAGGCCTCCCCATTCACTATCAGGGAAAGGACCCCACCTTCCTTCATTTCACACTCTATCCAGTAGAGTGAAGGATGATGGGAGGTATGCCATAAAGCTAACTCACTTCCATAACAAAGTACATTTGAACTTCTAATTACATGCTGCAACTTCCCCTAAGGGCAGCAGGTACTTCAGACTCCTTTTTTTTTTCAGACCTGGACAAAGTCCCTGCCTTTCAGCCATTATTACTAAAGCCCATATTTTGCTGAGTTTCATTATAACCCTCAGGATCTCTGATTGCTCCACTGTCCATGTCTATTGATGCTCACTTCAGCTGTCTGCAGTGAGGATGGCACGCTCACTCTCTCCCCTGTAAAGTACTTAGTGAGGGGTTGTACCACAGCTGAATGCCATCACAGGCACCAAGACTTGGACTTACAAATGGCACTTGGGTGACACTTTGATGAGCCACCTCACCACCAGAGAAAAGCACTCACCATAGGGTCAGCAAAGAGGCTGCCCAGCCAAAGACAGAAAAGATTTTGACTCTGCAGCAGCCCCAGCTTAGGGTATGATCCTGAGCAGCCCTAGCCAATAATGCATAGACAGCAGTGCTCCAGCACATAAACAAACAGTTATATAATTTATTTGTAATTTCTCCAACATGAGAAAAATCCTGAATCTGTGGGAAAACTCAAGTTGCAAGAACTGGAGACATTTATCTCGTATTACTACATAATGAAGTTGAAGGGGAAACTGAGTTAAGCAGCAGAGAAAAAAAAAGACAACATACCAGAAAAGAAGAAGGGGCGTAGTTAACTAAAGAAAAAAATAACAAAAACAAAACACCTTAAGAATGTTGCCAAAGGCAAACAGAATATACAAGTGCAACAAATAAAATGGGGGATAGGGGAAAGGAGGTAACAGAAAGTAGAACTGACCATCAAATTACTCAGATTACAAAGCAAACAGAACAGTTAACCAGAGAAACAAAACAGCTACATGTCCATTGCCCTGCGCTACCTCAAGAACTACAGAAGAAGCACTGACAAGACTTAGATCAGACTCAGACTAACTGGCCAGACTCCAATTAGTGCATACATAAGTCTGCAGGAACGCTACTGAAGAGACATCTTTTTCCTCAGTCTTAAAGAACTGTCTTCATGTATCAACCTGTGTCAGAATAGAAATAAGTTACAGTTCCAATTATACTTACATAATTTCCCAAGATTAAAGAAGACAAGAAATTGAACAAAGCAAAACATCCAAAAATCAGGCCAACAATGGTGTTACTGGCACCTTTTTTTTCTGCCTGGAAAAAAAAGATCACAACCACGTAAAGATGTAGTCAAATTCTTGAGGTGAAAAACATTCATGTTTTGTACATTTAATTTTTTTTAATTGTCTATTAATGCAGTTAGAAAGCAATTTCCTTTTTCAAAGGCAGCAGGGGTTCATAAGGTAAAACAACAGAGCAATTTAAAGACATATTGCACTTCTAATATGTAGCTAAGAGAAAAACCATGTTCATTCCTCAGTGAATGGAAAAATGTGTTATTTGCTGAACAAGCGGAGAGACTTTATACAGTGTGCACTGGTGTGTGACAGTGCTAGCTACAAAACTTTGATCCTTTGCATGGTGAGAGGACAGCAAACGGAGATATCTGTTACCTTCACTGTAACATGCCTCCTTATAACAAGCACCAATTTCTTTACTTACTTCGGTTGGCAAAGTATATTTACTTGGGCACAAGCAGTACACAGGAATATTTAAACCAAAAAAACATTTTGCTGTAAATACTTGGGAACAATTTGGTCATGAGAGAAATGGACTTCTGCTGCAAAGGCACCATGACCAGTTTTTTCATCCTATATTTAAACATTGTATTTGCTCCACATAAGCAGAGATTTTTTTTTTTTTCTCTAAAGTTGCTAGATCAGGAAGTTAACACAGCTAAGGATGGCCCAGCCTGAGTTAACAGAGAGGCAGACATAAATAAAGTCATTGAGTGGTTAGAGTACTGAAATGCAAGTCAGGACATTGGCAGAATTTAAACTCAGCTCTACGCAACACTGAGCAAAGAACTATTTCAAGTTCTCCAAGAATCCACCTTCTATCTCATATCATTACTTTGCTGTCACCTCTGTAGTCACAGGGAAGATTAGTCCATGGACAGGATCCATCATACACACACAAACTACGCCAGCATCAGGCTATCACTGAGTTCCCCCAATTGAAAAGTCTTAACTCAGAGCTTACAGCCAACCATAAAGGTCCCATGGAGTTCAAAATACTTCTAAAAGTGTCGACAAGGAAAAAAAGTAGTGTAAAGAGTAGCTAAGTTGTTTGTTTACCTCTGAAGGGAAAAAGGGTCCCAGGATTGAGTAGCATATCATTGAACTGAAGTTTATAGAAGCTGTTGCAGCCAGTGTAAATAGCTGTTCTCTGGTAAACCCTCTTGATTCCTCACCAAGTGCTTCTGACCCACCAACATCTAGAAATATAAAATAAAACAACAACAAAGTATCATTTCCCTGATAGAGGGGAACAAAATACAAATCGGGTTGGAAAATTAAACGCCGCGCAAAAAAAACTTCTACCCTTCCTGCTCTGAGAATTAAATCAAGCCGTGCTGCTTAATCCCCTCGTGCAGGAGCGCGGACTTCGCCGTGCGGGCGAGACCCGCCCGCTGCGGTGCGGTGCGATCCCGTGCGGTGCGGGCCGGCCCCCGCCCGGCAGCCCATCCCGGACGCGCCCGGCCCCAGGCGGTGCGCGCTCTGCCCCACCGGGACAGCCGCGGAGCGCGGCACGGCGGCGCTCAGCCCCTGCAGGGACCTGCTTCCGCTCCCCTGCGCTCCCGTTCCCTTTCCGTCCCGCCGCAGCGTGCGGAGCCCGCGGGCGCGCAAGCTGCCCCCGGCCCGGCCGTGCGGCGACCAAGCGCGGGCGCCCCCGCCTCCACCTGGGGCCGCTCGCTGCCCGCGCCGCTCCGCCGCCGGCTGCCCATGGGACGGAGCGCCCGCCTGCCACAGCCACACCGTGCGGCAACCTCCGGCCGCCCCGCCTGACAGCGGCCGCGGGCTGACCGAGCACCTGGGCCAGCGCCAGCCCGGCCGCCGGCACTGAGCATGCCCGGCCCGCGGGAGCGGCCCGCCCAGAGCGCGCCCGGCGGGGAGTGCCCGCCCGGGCCGGGAGAGCGCCGGGCTTCGGACACATGGAGAGTAACGTGCCGGCTGGCGGGGTACGCTGCACATCTGGCTCTGGGAAGTCACGATACGTCCTTAAGACTGGTAGACCAAGAAAGATCGCCGATCTAGAGACGTACACGGCCTCTAGCAAGTTACAGGATCCATAAAAGAGAAGTGCAAGAGCATAACGACAAAGTTGTCACAAGAATTAATAGCTATAACTGGCCAGGAGTAAATTCAAGCTAGAGATGAGGGAGAGGTGGTATAATGAATGCACTTGGCCCGAGTTTCTATCCACAGGGCAGGAAAGTGAGGAGAGAAATGGGGTGTGAGCTCAGGATCTCTTCCAAATGTGGTAAAAGACAGACCACCTGTTGCTTGAAGAGAAAAAACAGTAATTACATCTTAAAAGCGCTATTTTAACTAGGCCAGTACTCCATCTAGTCACCAGTTATAATATTAAGATGCATAAAAAAGACATTTCAGACCAAATGTTGCCATGTACCTAACTTTAGAATCCCACACCCCACATGACAGGAAAAAAGCAGAACTACTTTCTTATCACAAGATTAGGAAACCTAAAAGCTATTTAGCAGCCTGAAAGAACAACAGCAACATGTTCCTTTGCTGAAGCCTATTTGGACAATATATTTTGTGTAGCATACATTAATGGCTGTGAAGTTGAAAAAATCCGTAAGAACTACCTTCATCTTTTTCTGTCTACCTCCAGAAAAAGGCATAAACATAAATCCTTCTCATATTTATTACCTCTTGGGCAGCCTTACCCCTCTCTCAAAAAATAAAAAAAAAAAGGAAGAGCACTTGCAAGTCATCCTGAGTTCACAAAAGGACAATAACAAAAGCATGATATATGCAAAGTATAGCATACAAATAAAGCAAATAATAGAAAATTGGAGAGCGATATTAAAATCGTGGCAAGGCAATAAAGCCTTAATTTTTGTGGCTAGAGATCAACAGTCAGTTCTGTTCAGGAGGTGAAATAGTTTTCACTCCAACTACTTGCTCTTTCCAGTCTAGACTCTCACTCCACAGATTCCAACTACTTTCAAAACTCAGTCCTCTCATTAATAATTATGTATGAGTAATCCAACAAAGCCTATAGAGTCAGATTTCCACAAGGTCAGTGTGTACAGTAGAAGACTACTGTGATGTACTGTGATCAGCATGGCTCCAATAATGAAACAGGGCTATGAACTTGCCATGTGTGCATGGAGTTTACTTATGCTCTACTCATTATTGCCACAAGAAACTGCAGCAACTTTAATGAAATGTATCTTTTCTTTCAGATCCCAAATCATATGTAGACTTCAAGGCTTGGAGTACTAGCTTTCTATAAATAACTAGACATGGAGTCATATCCATTGCTTGTGTCCACAACATAAAAACATATTAAGAACAATTGCTTTAAGGGTAGCTTCCTTCACGGACATCCAGGACATTCTGAAATGCTTAGCACATGTGGGAATACATATTCTTTGTACATATTCCTTGAAGAGATCTTGGATTAGAGATCTTTTGCATTGCAATCAAGAAAATACTTAGTGCGTATTTGCAGCATGCTAATATTTCTTTTTTCAGAAGTCACAGCAGCTGCACACTGCTATTTGGAAGTAGTTTAAAATTACTCTAATGTGATGACATGATAACTACTAGTGCAAAATCTGTCTAAGGCAATGGAATCAACAAATTGTTTTGTTCAGTTATCATGAATCTTTCTTGATTTCAAATTGGTATTGAAATACCATAGCTTGTCCTCTCTCTGAGACTCCAGGACAATCTCTCCATAATTTCTCTAAGTGCTTGAAACTTGACACAGACCACAGACATCTTTTTGTGCTCCTCAGTAACAGCATATGGTTGCCTGTTCTTTTCTATGTGTGGAGGCACTTGGAAACCTCTGGGCTGGTTAGCAAAACTTCTGTGGATATAGGGCAAGAAATTTGGTAAAAATAGCCTGGCTTCCCAGCTTTATAATGCAGAACCTTTTGTTGTTGTTGTTGTTGTATGACCAGGAAATACCAGGAAATAAGTAAGATCATTGTTTAGGAAGAGTAAGGTGAAATGCGTACTGGTGTTATTTGCAAGAAGGCTTCTAGCTTGATGTTCCACAAGACTGAGAAATCACATCTTGTTCTGCAAGGAAAATGAGGTAATTCTATCCCGTGACATTGGAAATTTCATTATAGCACATGCCTGTGCTTTGTATTTCTAGAAAAAGATGTCAGAGGGGAGTAAGTTTCACAAGGTTTGTTCTGAACTGAAATTCAGAATGTTTAGAGTTTAGTAGTGTCATAGACTTCTCTTGGGAGTCTGCAATACCTGATACTTTCATCTGCCTCCCTGGCTGCCTCACTGTACTGTGCTGCTGTCTGTATGGCTAGGAACTCGGTTCCTGAGTCTCCACAGTTTACAATATGGGACTTAAATTATCACTGAAGTCTGACATTTTGAAAAAAATATGGGTTGTGGTTGTTAGGAGAAGGTAAAGGTTACCAGCAAGAGACAAGGAGAGAAATGGAGGAAGGAAAAAGGAGCAGGAAGAGGATGACTGAGACAGAGTGAACCATTATATCCTCACTGCAGTACAGGTCTTCCGAAAAAGTCCCCAAGTTCAGCTCCTATTTTGATCATAGTGGAAAAAAAGAGGAAGGCTGCCAGCCTGGATAGGGGGGATAGTCAGGGGGAGTCAAGGAATTGAATGGAGAACACAGAGGGCAGTAGCAATAACCAAAGAATTTTTAAATATATGTGGAAAGATGGTGAGTCCAAATGGATCACCCAGAACAGCAGGCTGGAGAGAATCCAAATTCTTGAATGTCATGTGACAGCAGCTCGTCTTCCTCTCCCCAAATCCAAGTTTATAGACAGCATGTTACGCTGTTTATAATGAGGGGATTGAGTTCCTGTGCTGGGGCTGGCTGCTCAGTGAAACAGCAGATCAATGCACCAACACCACCTCAGCCCTCTAGAACCTAGACAGGCTCTTGCACTGCATCTGGCAGCTCCTCATTTTCTAGCACTGCTTGTTACCCCACTCACCCTCAAGTGGACTAAAAGTACTTTTAACACAGGACTGCAATCCTTGGCTTAAACGTGTCATTCCCTCCTTGTGGCTGTATGCCAGCATTTAAACTGCAGGGTGATGAATGGACATAACTCTAAGGGAAAATGCAGAGCTTAAGGAATTAGCTATTCCTTGTAGGAATATGGACTGAAAAGTGGAGCAGGTGGAGTAGTGCCAATAGTGTGCAGAGCACCGACATGAACGCTGAGCTCACATTAACACACTGTGCAGCAGAGTGGACTTTTTCCATCAAGATCACACACTTCCATTAATTATTACACAGAATATACACTCCTACTATGCTATACCAACATTTCCACACTAGAGTTCAGTGCCAGTGCAAACCTCCTCTCTACACTTTTAACTGTCTAACTTTTATCTCAGCACAGCTTTATTTTCGTGCAACTGCTTTAGGAAAACTGTTTTTTAATATCCTACTTCTAGAATATTAGATTATACTTTGTTATTATCAGTTTTGCTGTAACATAAAATTGTTCATATGTGCATACTTCCATCTCCTGGACTGTATGTATATTGCACTTTCTGGCAACACTGATGTATCTTATGGCTGGATATGGACTTCTTGTTATCCTTTGAAGACCCTTAGGGGAGATAATGGTCTATTGTTCCACTCAGTACAAAAACTACTCTGTAGATTAGCTGTCTTTGGGGATTTTCAAGGGCACAAGAAGATTAAGTGATAGGTGAATATAGGGAAAATGGTTCTGAGCACTATAAATGAAACTACACATTCCCATTTCTTGTGGAGGAAGGAGGGAAGAAGTCATGGACAAATGTAATATAAAAGATACGTAGGTGCCTGCCTCAGAGTTGACATTAGCTATATCTCACAGCTGGAGCCTGTGATTGCTGCAGCTACAGCCCCCAGCAAGGCCTTTCCCCCGGGGCAGGCTACAAAAGGTGGTGCTGCCCGAGCTGGGGGCATGTGGGGCAGGTATGAGCCAGCTGAGGAGTTTCCATTTTCCATCTCTGTCCTCCCCTGCCCTGACCTGCTCCAGTGGGTTGCTTTGCACTGTCTTTTCCCTACCCGGATTTAGCCTACATCCTGCTGCTTGGCAACACCAGGAATATCAAAAAAGAACATATTGTGGAAAAGGTGACTGACAACGATGGTGACAAATGTGTTTGATTGCTTTAGCCACAAATCGTGGCTGTCAATATTCGTTATCTATTTCTCTTATATTTTGCCACTATGTATTTTTTACAAAGGTAGAGCAACCAACAGTCATGTTGTCTGGTCAGAAGCAGCTGGTATGGACAAAGCCCCGTGTCAGACTGACAGCACCCGAGCAGGGAACACGTTTGCAATGCAGTGGCCGTGCTGTGCTTGCCATCAGCTGGATCACCCGGGCGCGTGTGAGCCCCTGACAGGAATGGGGATGCACAGTCACATTTGTGAGGTTTCTGAGCTGCAGTTCAGTGCTGTGCCCCGCTGACAGAGAATTAAGGCCTGTTCCCTGTGCTCCCCATCTCTTGGCTGCCAGCGATAGAAGGACAGTACCAGGTGAGGCCAGACCGCTATGGCAGCACCAGAAGCACTCGCTGCCCCAAGGCAGCCGATGTGACCCAGCCCAGGCGCCCCTGTCCGGCTGCTGCAATTGGCTTTCCCCCAGAAGCTGCTTCCCCAAATCAAATGGATACTTTAAGCACCGAGTGTTTTTTTCCATTAAAAGAACAATTTACCTTCTTAAGGAACCTGTTGGGTGATAATATTCCTTCAGAGACTCAATTTGCACTATTCTTTCCCTAGAAAATAGCCAACCAACTTTCTTGTGAAACTTTATTTAATCCTCAGTGAAGAGGTGCCTTTGCTGTGGCTGCAGGCTGGGGTCAGGTATTGATAACAGTACAGATATCGCCCATAAAATATATTCACAAAGCCAATTTGCAGCTGTTTCCTATAGCTGTTCACGTTCATCCTTTAATTCCTGTTTCAAACCATGTCCCCAGTCCTTGGTTTCAAACCTCCCCATATCTCCACGTGGATAGGTACGGAGGGGGGGTGCGCGGCCGATCAGGCCCCGCGACGGACAGCCCCGGCGCGCACGCGTGCGCGCGCGGGCCGGGGTCCTGCGGCGCTATAAGAGCGCGCTGCGGCAACGCCCCTCTCTCTTTGTGCGGCGGCGCGCGGCGGTGCCGGGTGAGTGTTCGTGGTGGCGCCGGGGCCCGTCCGGGCGGGATCCCTCCGGCCCGCGGGGCATCGCGGCGGGAGCGGGCGGGGGTGGGGCCCGGGCGGCCGGCGCCGCTCACCGGGGCGGCCTGTGTCTTATTTGCAGCAGGAACCCGGGCGGGGACCAACCCACCGAGAGCGCCATGGCCGAGGAAAGGGTGAGCGGGGCCGGGGCGGCGGGCGAGGGGCCACGTCTCGCCGGGTCTCGCTCTGCGGCGCGTCGGGGCTGCGCGGGCCCCGGCGCGGGGCTGCGGCGAGTTCCCTGCAGGCCGGGGCCGGGCGATGGAGGCGGAGTCGCCCGACGGGGCCCGTAACGCGTGGCGGCCCTGCTGCGGGAGAGAGCGCGGCTCGCTGCTCGCCAGGAGTTAGCGCCTTGGTCTCTTTCAAGCTCGTCGTTTCTCAGTTACCCTTTTGCCTTGGTTCTTCAACTTGTGTTTCTTCTGTGTTTTTTTAATTGTGGGATGCTTGCTGGTGAACGGGAAGTTTTTGCTTATAGCTGTAAGAGGTTGGCACGATCAGAACATTGTCTGTCTTTTCTTTAGCATTACTGCTGGAGGTGTAATGGATGTTAACACCGCCCTGCAAGAAGTGCTGAAGACCGCACTTATCCATGATGGCCTTGCTCGCGGTATCCGTGAAGCAGCCAAAGCCTTGGACAAGTAAGTGTTGTGTCACTAGTTTATTTCTGTGATGAATAGCAAAACTGGGTGAAGTACGTTGTGATGAGGTACATTGAACACATACAATGGTCACTTTGTCCAGGTGTTCAGTCTAAAACTTTAACAAGACCACAGTTTTCTGCCGGTAATCTTTGTCTTTTGTAATCTCTGTTTTGAGATCTTTAACTGTGATCTTGAATTATCGAGTTTAGCATCTATATTTTGAGAATAGCATCATCTGGTTTATTAGGTTCTGTCTGTGACCCCAGTGCCACCAACTGTTCATGTGGGTGTATGGGTTTTGTGAAGAAAATGGAATGGTGCTTGCAACCTGTGGCTGTTAAAACCTAGGGCTCAAGAACCTTGTGTTTTCAGAAGTGATAAAGTCTTCTCAAAACTTTCTGAGATTTTAATTGGGTTAAATATGTGTCAGACTTAACCTGGAAGAGTTGGTTTAGCATTTGAAAAAAACTTAAATCATAGCTTGTTTGGGGTTTTTTTGCTGTCTTCATTTCTTGTGTGTGTGTTGCAGCTGTAGATAACTGCTTTGGTACAATATCAAAGCAATAATAAACTCGTCTCTTGTGCGAACCAGTTATGGTCTTTTGTAGGGTGAAGCACTATATATATGCATATATATACACATACATACACACCTATGTGTGTTTATATGCAGAAGCACACTTCTAAGAACAGAAGGTGCTTTAGGGTAATGCTACAGTGTTTGGGTGATGACTTCACAGTTTGTCGGATACCCCTTCACTCGTTTTATGAGTGATAACTGCTGTCTGACAAACCTGTATGCAAAAACCTCTAAGACAAGGTGCTAAATAATGGAAGAAAAATACAATTTAGGTGACTGACAGCTAGTTTGTAAGAATTCTTATGAGTTCACCTGCAGCTTCACATGCTGTGTGTTCAAAGGATAATGTTTATACACATTTGGGTGTGATGGTTTTTGCTTTGAAATGTTTCTGACATTCTGGTGACACTCATAATGAAGAAGGTCACAGAGAAAACCGATGTTGTCTGTAGAGGTCACACTGCACTAGGTTAAGCATAGAAGACCTACTCAGCTCTCTCTGTTGTCAGGTATCCCTTTGGTGTCTTAACATTGTACCACAGTATACAAAGATCCTAATTAGAATTGGGGCCCTGTCAAAACAGCTTCTTTGAACGTAAGTAGAAAAGATTGTTCTGAAGAGCTTATAACACCTTGATGTGGAAATTCAAGCTTTTAGTTATTACAGTTCTAATGTTAAATTACTGTAATCTGTGGTAAACAAGAAAAAGCAACTTGTAACTTGGTTGCTTTCTGACAATGACACCAGTTCTTTATGGGACCTTGTGTTTATCCAGTCATTAGACATTTTTCCAATGGCTGAGAATTTATTTAGTGGGATTTTTAAAAGCTTTCAAAACTGGAATAGAATCTGATCATAAAGCTAACTATGAATAGCCTGTTATGTATATTAAAAACAGAAGTGATACATGATGTCAAAAGTATATTTAGTATTTCAAAAGCATAACCAAAAATGAAGCTTAGGAAGTGATTCTCTAGAAAAGCATGTGCTGAATTCTTTCACTTATGATTTTTATTATAAAGAATTTTCAAGTATTGTCTCAAGTTACATGTGTCAGTTTTCATTCTTTTTTAGACGCCAAGCCCATCTCTGTGTTCTGGCTTCAAATTGTGATGAACCCACATATGTAAAATTAGTTGAAGCACTCTGTGCAGAACATCAGATCAACTTAATAAAGGTAAGTGTCAACTTAAGACACAAGTTCATAACAATTGTACTCCTTGTTTCAGCATTTAGAGAGCTGAATCTTTAAAACACTGTTCTGTAATTCTGTGTATGGCTTATCTAAGCAAAATTTCTCTTTGCAGAAGTTGTTTAGTTCTGTGTGATTGGCATACAAGCAGTACAAAGTTAAAAGTGAGTTCTTGTGTCCTGTATAACAAGGCATAGAATTATTGCTGCGAGTGGGTGGAGCACAGGAGGAGTCCTGCCGTGAGGGCACAAGCTGTACGATGATGATACTTTGGCTCCCTCTGCTGATGCCTGTGAGGAAATCAGCCATCCGTTACCCAAAGCTTCTGACAGTACAGCAGCTTTTGGGCTGACCCCAGTTATGTTAGAAATGGCAAGTTCTAATGTGATACAATGCTCTGCACCTCAGGTTGATGACAACAAGAAGCTGGGCGAATGGGTAGGTCTCTGCAAGATCGACAGAGAAGGAAAACCTCGCAAAGTAGTGGGCTGCAGTTGTGTGGTTGTCAAAGTAAGATTATGTTAATTATAGATTATTTCTTGACTTGTGAAAATAGGCAGTAAACACAAGGTTGCTTTAGATAAGGAACTGTTAAATGGAACTCTCATATTCATTTTTATAAACGGTTACTTTATATTGTTGATAGTGAACATAAGCTGCTCCCGTGTTTTATACTCCCTTTCATTTTTATTTAAAACACTCATACGTTTTGTGAGTTAATGGTTGTGTCCTTAAAGTCTTTATGCCCACTTACCAGTAAGCATTAAAAGGAAAGACCTGACTAGAAGATAGGAAGCTTTGCTTAAGGAAAAAAAAATGCCAGTTCAATGTGTCCGCTCAACTTTAAAATGTTTTGCGGAGCATATTTTACAATGACACTGGTAAAGTAAAGCCACAGTACGAGCCTTGAAGACTTTGTTGTCTCTGAGGTCCCATGAGATGGCTACAGCTTCACAATAAGGACTAATGCCTTCTGTATGTTTTCGTACTTTTGCAACTGTTTCACACATTTCGCTTGACTTCTTTTAAGCAGATAAGATGACTTTAGTTCCCCGTCAATGGTTGTTACATTTGAATGAAATAGTCTTTTTATTAGATAAAAAAGGAAAAACAGCTGACAGATCGCTTCAGGTTACTTATGTGGAATTTTCGGAATGCCTTGAGAAAAAGTGTCAGAATCCCATTTGTCCTTTTGAAAATAGGTTGTAAAATTTTGAATGGGTCTGTATGTTAATAATGGGTTATCTTGTGTTACAGGACTATGGCAAGGAATCTCAGGCCAAAGATGTCATTGAAGAGTACTTCAAGTGCAAGAAATGAATGAAAAATAAATTTTAAACCTGACTAGTGTATGTGTGATTAATGGTTGGGTGTCTGTGGAATAGTTCTTTGAGTTACAAAGGATAACATCAGAAGATGAAAGCACTTTGCGAGTGTTGGTGTAGTTTACTAGTATGTTAACTCTCAATTGGCTAAAAAGATCACAGCGAGCCCTTCTGTTCCTATTCTCTGGTGCTTCTATTTCCTCTTCCTACCCCAGAGATTACCAGCTGGGATAACTTTGCACAGCTTTAGTTGCAAAAATGCAGGCAGCTAGTTACTAGCTTTGCATTGGTAGTGCTTAGGTCTGTACTTCTGCAGGGAATCTGATTAATTTGTTAAGGAAAACCTGAAGTATAGCTGCATCTGTGATGAAAATTTGGCTCCCTCTGCTGAAACATGAGGAGAGCGGCCTTAACCGTTACCCAGGTCTTCTGCGATGTTGCAGGAATTTCATAAATGCTATCTTAATTTATTCAGGGATCTCAGTGGGCACAAGATGTTTTACTGGTTCCCCTACCTCAATGGAGGCAGATTAAAGGTTTTGGCATCTTATAACAGGTACTGTCATGTACTTCTTGATCTGATTCTGTAGTTCTTGGTAGGCAAGGTAGCCATGTAGAGCTCTCACTTGCTCAGATGGCAGTGTTGCACTCCCAACTTGCCCAGAGTCTTGGTTTCCTTAGTAGTTCAGTGATGTACAGAACTTGCGGTGTTGCCGGTTTTTAGTTTTTTTTTTTTTTTTTTTTTTTAGATGTGTGGGATTGAGACTGGAATTTAATTGCTTTTATCTCTGCTGTGAGTTGTTTTATGTGTCTCACCTTTCCTGCAGAAGAGGTCTAAGTGGAGTCATAAGGAATTGCTCCATTATGCTGATAAACTGTAAGACATGAATGTGAATATGCGGGGTTGGCACCTGCAGGCTGAGGAGATAGAAATGTCTATCTATTCTCAGGCTCTTCAATTTTTGTTATGGTTCGTTACTCCACTTTAGTTATCCCCAGTTGTTTGTGTAGTGTGGAGGCAAGCATCTTCTCCAGCTCTGTTCAAGTGGACTTGTTGCTCTCATTTAAGCTCTTGATGTGTCCCTTAGTTTTGGCCCCATCACAGCTTTATAGTAGCTAGATCTGGGTGACTTTTGATTGTTTGAGAGGTTTCTGTAGTAATAGTTTCAGGTGTACTTGATGATGGAGTCATCTGTTCAAGGCTGCTTCATGGCAAGGTCTATATTCTTTTGCTGAACTTGATGTACGTTCAGTCTTCTCTGTGAAATTGTCCTTGAAGGAGATAAAGTGGTTCTTAAGTTAATGTCAAGCTAGTATTGCAAATTGAGGGAAGTTAACGCAAATATACAAATGTTAAATTTTCCACTTGGATTTGTTCAATATGTAGTTGAAATTACAGAAGTCATTGGTAGATAGGAACCTTAGTTGCAGATCTCATTTCATTAAATTATTGAAGGTTTCTCAATATTGAGAATGAGGGAGTATTTCTTGAATGGAGTTGAGAGGCTTAAATATTGATAAACTTTGTCAGTTGAGTTTAGCTAATAATTTTGAGTATGTGACTTGTATACAGAAGCACACTAAAACTTGCTTCATCTTTTGTCCTATCTTAAGGTGCATCTTGCAAGAGTTTTGGATAAAATAGTTATGCACTTTGTTCTAATTTTTATAACATTTGTAGCTACATTATAGAGAAAAGAGTTGTTTGCAACTGGTGATGGTGGCAGTCTAACGGGCTTTGTGGTTTGCCTTTCCTTGGCTGGCTGTTTATCAGGGTTAAATTGACAAAGGGAATTGGGATCCAAAGGTGGATTTCAGTACTTGGGTTCAATGGCCTCTGTGTTGCTGATGTTGAAAATTGTTTAACTGAATATGCCACTGAACTAGAACTTTTTTTTTTTTATCGGGAGTGGTCTGAATTCCTTGTGTCTCTGGATGCAGTGTAACAAATGTGCAATTCAGTAAGCCTCTCCAGGGTAGTGGGTGAAGATTTTTAAAAAGATGAAATTCATAGACATTCAAATTTGAGGAAGTAACTTAGCAAACAGCTTTTCCAGATGTTTAGCTTTTTGGTTAAAACATAGCTTTTCATTTTGTTATTTTTTGACACAAAATGACCTAGGAGAATGGAGAAGACACCTACTTCCACATCTAGTAATGATGTCTTGTGATGTAAAGCACTAATACCAACACATATTAACATTTCAGACGAGACTTTTATGATTTGCTATTGGAAAAATAGGAAGGAATTGATGGAAGGATAAAATGTTTATGTCTAGATGTAGTTCTGAGATTATGATCTTGGAGTGAAAGGAAAAGGAACTATCACTGAAAAGAGTGAGTAAAAAAAGTTGAGAACCTTGAGTAAAAATTCTGAAAGTGTCTGGCTGGTAGTACCTGGAGGTATTTAATACCTGAAGTAGTTTCCCTTTGCATTTCCCCCAATATTTATGCGGAAAGTTGTTTAAAAATATTGTATCATCACTAGATTTCCTGTCCAACTATAACACTAGAGGAAATAGGGTATGCTGGGTAAATGAAATGATGTTCTGTGAGCATTCACAACCTACTAAGGTTCAGTTTGTGGGCCCTCACAAGGAAGACATTGAGGTGTTTGAGTGCGTGAGAAGGAGGATGGCAAAATCTGGTGAAAGGTCTGTAGCACAAGTCTTAGGAGGAGCCACTAAGAGAGCTGGCACTCAAGCCTGAAGAAAAGGAGGCCGAAGAGATTATTAGGACATCAAGAGATTGGGTATTAGGAAAAATGTTCAGGCATTGGAACAGTGCCCAGAGAAGTGGTGGAATCACCAGTCCTGGAGATAGCTAAAAGGCACATGATGTGATACTTAGATATGGTTTAGTGGTGGGCTTGGCAGTGTCTGGTTTGCAGTTGAACTCTGATCTTTTCCAACCTAAATTATTCCATGATTGAATTCATACATGTTAAACCTGCAAGCAGGTTGAGAAGAGTCCAGCACTCTATTTAAGTTTACAAAATAATTAATGGATTTTAACTTGTGGTGTGAGAAAAATAACATCTTTATCAAAATGGTTTTTGTGCTTGATTTATATAATGCCTTTATACTGTTGGAATTGGCAGCTTTAGCAATAGCTGGGTTATGCATTTGCTCTGAATTACTGTGAAGTATGACTAGTTAGCCCTTACGAAAAGGGATTCAAGTAAGGAGAGCTGTAGTCATGAGCAAGTTGGTTAGGCAGGATTTCTTTTGCTACAATGGAATGATACTTTAATAAAAGTTCAGGAATATGTTTCTTTATGGGTTGGTTGGGTTTTTTTTAATGCCATGATTTTACATAGCAATGAATATTAATACCAGGGAATGACAACTTTTCATGGCAAAGTTTTTTCAATTCTGTTGGAATAGAATCAACACTTCCTAAATATTTTTTGCTGTGTTGAGATCCAAATTTTCTAATCAAAATGCTTAGGTATCAAGCTAAGAGTTTTTCGTGTAGTGTTTCGTTTCCTGCAAGTGACCTTGGAACCTATGCAGAGTCAGGACTGGAGAACTGATTAAGACTCAGTTTACTTTATTAATGCATTGGTATGTCCTGCAGGATTTTTCAAGGAGTAGACTTTGGATTACACTTGAAGTTACAGCCATCTGTAGTCATCATCCTAAAGGTACTCATCACCTGGCCCCTGAAAGGACCTGATTAGACAGTATTAAACATGTGACTGGAAATTAGAGGCTTTGGAGTTAAGAGTTCCAAGACTGGCCCTGACTTTTTCTCTTGCTGATCATACTTAATGTCACTTGCAGGTTTTCCTTGTGAAACGGGGGAAATACAAAATGGTTTGATCAATGATGGATGTTTCGTGACTTTTCGTTGGCAAAAGCAGCAGAATTAACGTTTTTTGTGAACTAAAATACCAGGTTTTGGTGGTTTTGCATGGAATGGTTGTTGTTTTCAGGTCTAAATTATTATATTTCAACTTGAAGTAGAAAGCTAATGAAGTGCTTTGAAGAAATGCTGGTAAGTCATTGTGAAAGTGTTAAGTACAGACTTCTAGAGAGCATTGGAAGAACATACCCTGTGATGTTTTAAAAACAATAGATTTTGAAAACAAGCTCCACTTGAAGACAATTGCTTACTAGGACAGCTCATTCATATCTGGGTCCTATTGTAATGCTGATATGTTTTGCAGTTGCACAAACATCAGGGAATCAGGGCTTGTCAGCAGCAAATAGCTGCACCGTACAGGCACTTCTGTGGGCTCCAACCATTCCTATGGAGAGCACTGTTTATTTTGTCTGCTTTACCAAGAGAAGAGTATTATCTTCGTGTCTTATTTAACACATTTAGTATCTTATGGAGGGTGAGAACTAATACCACGTGAAGAAAAAATATATTTAATAATGTTTCATATTTAGAATTGCCTCTACCTGTCTGGTTTTGTTCCTTGTTTGTTTTGGAAAACCTGGATATCCTAGCTGTGAGCCACTGCTCCTCATGTGTCCATGTCACTGAAGTTGGTGCAAACATTTTTGCTGAAATTTGCTTCCTTCCCTGGAGATCTCACAAAGGTATCTCATCTTGTAATGTGAAGGAACTCTGAACACACATCCAGTTGTCAGCCTTGTCTCCTTTGGAGATCATGTGTTTGTGATGTGAAGCCTCACTAGGATTTGTATGTTGTGTCATTGAACCAGACAGTGGATGTTAGGTGAGCACAGATGTGACTGGCTTGTTTTTTTAGCCTTAAGGAAAACAGAAGTATTGGCAAATTATTTTTTCAGGGATTTTAGAGAATTAAGTAAATACACAGAAAATTTTTCAGCCATTGGTCAGCAAGCAAATGTTTGGTTTGAGTCTGCAATAAATTGAGCAGATGGAGTGGTTGCTATGCTGTTGTGTATCCCCCATGCCTGAATAATTTTTGATGCATTGGCATTGATTTTGAATGCAAGTCCACCTACAAGAAGCCCTAAACACACATCAGTTGCTTCATGTATTCTGATCTGTTCTAAATTATGATATAATCTCTTATGGAAG